AAACACAACTATGGATTTTGATTACTCATTCAATTAAAAATGGAATAAGGGTCAAATAGGCCATCCAACTGCACACAATAATTCAATTAGGCCACTGAACCTAAAAAACCAACAATTGGGTCCCTAAACTAACCAATTTCAAACAATTCATCCAATTTGAAGGTTTCCAATAGGTCAACAGGTCATCATTCCAAATTAATAATTTTTAAAAAATAAAATTTTAAAATTAATTATTTATATTTAAAAAAAATAAATATATAAAAAAAAAACAGGACTGGCCGGAGACGGTTGTCTCCGGCCGGAGTCTCTCTTTTTTTTTTTTTTAAACAAAATTTAAAATTAATTATTTTTTAAAATTTATTTAAAAAAAAAACAATTAATTTGAGAGGATGACCTGTTGATCTATTGGAAACCTTGAAATTGGAAGAATTGTTTGAAATTGGTTAGTTTAGGGACCTAATTGTTGGTTTTTTAGGTTCAGTGGCCTAATTGCATTATCATGTGCAGTTCGATGGCCTATTTGACCCTTATTCCATTAAAAATTTAGTTCCCTAATTAAAAAAGGGGTATCATTCCATCTTATTGGTAATCTAAATTTTAAGTTTGGATTAGTATTTTTAAATTTTTAAATTTTTTGATTTTTTTTTGTTCATATTGATGTTTTGGATGTCATTATATTATGATCAATTGTCTTGATTTTTATATTTTTGTATTTTAAAACCTTTATTCCCATTATAGGGTCATACACAACCAAACATCAATATTGGTAATCATTACAATTCCACCATACTACCAAACATGCAAAATACTTTCACCAAAACTCATTACCCTTACTAAGTATTTGATTTCTATTCTGATTCCAATTCCTATGTGTGAACCAAACATACCCTTAGAAGGACACCAGTCAAACAAAATGATGTTAAGGACAAAGGTATAGTATTAGGAACTCGAGAGACTCTTAAAAATATAAGAGAATACTTTACCAATTACCACTATCTTCAAGTGTAACCTTGGGGTGTGGTTGAGTAGAAGAAACTTATCCATCCTTAATAAAACGTCAATAGTTTGATCCTTGGCTTTGGATGAAGTAGCCTTAAATCTCCAGGCTAACTGTCCCATCCACCAATAGAGGTGTCTACAATTCAATGAGAAGATTAGTCATTGTATTCAACGGTGAAAACGTGTAAAAACACATATAAATTCTCATGTTTGGTTTAAGTTATGTAACTTTTTCAAGGAATGTTACTTAATCCCCACATAAGATTTTTAGTTATTTTGGAGGGAATGTGAGATACTCTTCACATCAGGTATTCTTAGAGTATCCACAATAGTGAAGTTATTTTGTGATTTTTAAGGAATTTTTGTAAGTGTAATTAGGAAAGAGAAGATGGGCGGGGAGAGAAAAAGAAAAGAAAAAAAAAAACCAAAATTGATTTGTTTTTTAAAAAATAATAATAAAAAGAAGTGTCAAGCGCGCCTGACGCACCCGTGTGGGCTACTGCTATGCGCGAAACGCGCACAACAACTGGTCCCTCTTTATTTATTTCTCTTCCCTTGGGAAGAGAAATAACTCCTCCCTTGCACGAGAGGTTGATGATACTCTCTCTCTTGCATCTTTCTTCGTTAACATGGCATTGTGACCTCAAAAGGGGTAAAATATAACTCTCCATTGTGCGCTGATATAGTTGCTCTTACATTCCCTTTTCCATTTTACTAATTTTACCCTTTTAATACATTGTTTTTTCTCCCCTTCAAAACACACAATGGTTCTCAAGCTCAAGCTCTTAGTTATTTATTTTTAAATCATTTATTTAATTATATATATATATATATATATATATATATATATATATATATATATATATATATTATCCTTACTTTATTTATTTATTTTAATTTTGAAGTTTACAAAAATACATGAAAATATATGTTAGGGGTATTAAAGTAAAATAACTATTATAACATAAAAGATAATAAATCATTAACCAAACATGATTATATTACATACCACATTTTAAACAAAATATAAGAATCTAACATTCTCATCAATCTAACATTTACCAAGGTAATCTAATTAACATTCCATGAACCATGTAAAATCGTGAGTAGTCTTGAATGCAAGAAAATCCAAACTAGTTCCTACACAATTCAAACCAAATTGGTTATCTGAGTTACGCTCTGTGTCGGACACAAAGAGACATGCAAAATGTGAAAAATAAAATAACTGAAGGAATAATAAATGATTTTCAAAAAAAAAAAAAAAAGAAGGAATAATAAATGAACCAGAAACACCATATATATTCACACCGTTCAAAAAAATTTCTCCTACATTTACAGGATCACTCAAAATTGAAACTCAACTCCACTAGACTGACACCATCATCAGAAATGCGACAATTCTAAAAGCAATTTCTAAATAATTGAGAACCACATTTCTAAATTTTGACTGTAAATATATTAAAGAAAGTAATATCGTTTATTTTATTCAAATTTCGAAATTTGTTAATTTTTGTTTAAATAATGTGATTTCTTCGTATTTTAGTCCATAACACTCTATTAGAGCACTAAACTGGACGAACTTGTTGGATTTTTAGCATAAAATGACATAAAAAGTGGTTATTTTGTGGTACAAATACATGTGAGGTCCATTTGAGTCGGGTTAAAGTGAATTCGGGGTCTTCATATATAGATGAATAAATTGATATATTCTACGCTCAAAACAGATGATGGGTGAATGGGAAATTAATTTTCAAAGTACATAGATTCATTTGAGTTGGAAATGAAGGTGGAAATACTTTGTAAAAGCACTTGCCCACATTGGTTTGGGAAGTGGGTTTGCACCACCACTATATATACAATAGCCTTTTGGAAGAAGGTTGAATTATATAGCATAAAGGCTCTCTTTCGCGCGCAAGGGGTGCAACTCAAATCTCAAAATGAGCTTGAAAAGGCTTGACTTGTGTACACCAGCACCTGCTGGATTTTGAGTGCTCGTCCTTTGTTCTAGTTCACCGAACCTTTTATTTGATTGCTCAAACTTAAGGTCGTGATCTATTTTATCCTGGGAGACTATACTACACTTCTCCTAATACCATCAGGAGGTAGCAAATCAATGTTAAAGAAAGTGTTACACACGACTTAGATCTTTCGTTGTGTTTATAAATTAAGGTTTGAAAACCCTCTTTTCGTTATTTATATATTTTATATAAATAATTTTTGTTCTGTACCAAACATTGGTTTAAATTAATTTTTTCTAAAATTAAATTCCATATATATATATATATATATATATATATATATATATATATATATATATATATATCTTCCACTCTTTGATTTTCTCACTATCTATCTACTATCTACTATACTAATAGAGCCAAAGAGAGTTAGGCCTATAATGCGTAGAAAAAATGGCGGTCAAATTTTTTAATTAAATGAATGCTCAGATTGATTAGATTTTAATTTTTTCTTGAGATTTCCTAATTTATCCTTAATGAATATGATAATCTGTTAACTTTTCTGTTAAATATTATCTTTTCCGTTAATTTCTGTTAGTTCACCGTTAACTTATTCATTGATTTAATAAGAAAGGTCTTAGGTTCGAACCACATCCCAATCAAAGTTGGCATAATTAGTTCTCTATTTTACTCTTATTAAATTAATAAATGTAATTTAGTAGCTACAACAAAAAATAATACATATGCATTTTTTTTGATTTAGAATTATGTGTCTACAATGCCTTTATTCATAAAAAATTATTCATTATCAATAAATTAAATAAGATAAATAATTTCATTAGTTATATTGTCTTTATTTTTCTCTAATATAAAAATTCTTTAAATTCAAAATTTAAATTCATCAATTGATTATATTCACTACATTGTCCCTACAATGTCTTTATTAAAAAAAATTATTCATTATTAATAAATTAATTAAGAGAAAAAATTTCATTAGTTATATTGTCTTTATTTTTTCTCCAATGTAAAAATTCTTTACATCCAAATTCATCAATTGATTATATTCACTACATTGTTCATTATCTTTTTTCTGCACTAATTAAATATCAAAGTTATAATACAAAATAATGATATATATTTATTTACCAAGTATTTTATTAATACCATGAAAAAATTTAAATTAATAAAGCCAATTATATTAGCTACTTGAGGGATTTGTTGACAAAGAGAGTATACAAATCACACAACAAATTGAAGTGAGAAACTAATAATTTTCTTTTTTGACAATTAGCAGTTAGCTGTTAGCGTTAGTGGATTTGCCCAGCGAATTATATCAACGGTTGGTAAAAAGATATTTAGAAAAATTAGCTGTTTAAATTAACATTTAAAACGACCTAAGGGTATAATAATAATAATAATAATAATAATAATAATAATAATAATAATAATAATAATAATAATAATAATAATAATAATAATAATTGTTTTAATAATAATTTTTAATATATATATATATATATATATATATATATATATATATATATATATATGTGTGTGTGTGTGTGTGTGTGTGTGTGTGTGTGTGTGTGTGTGTGTGTGTGTGTGTGTGTGTGTGTGTGTGTGTGTGTGTGTGTGTGTGTGTGTGTGTGTTTTGGGGAAATCATTCTAAAAAACGTTAAGTGAAAATATTGTAATTGCAATGTTTGCATTTTCAGTGGTTTGGAACAAATTGTTGCTTCCAACTGTTGAATAACCAAAACACCTTTTTTAGCATTTTGATCTTTGGATTACATCATATTTACCCATCGTCAAATATCTTTGCGTTACATTATAATTAAATTTTTTAAATTTTTACTACATCTAAATTCCTTAAATTAAGAATTTTTTTTATCCATAATAATTTATTCAACAATAATGGTTGAACTAAATAAACCCTTAGCAAAACACTTAATGGACTGGTACCGTTGATTCATTCATTGATCTTGTATATGTGTGCATTTATTAAATATATTAGAACCCTTTGCAACAAAAATACTTGGTTACTATTTAAAACAAGTTTAGTAACAATTATAATGAATCTCCTATATTACATTGTATTCATATACTATGAATTACATATTTAAATAAACAAATTAGTCATTAAATTACTTATGTTGAACTTCTCATATATAATCTTGCATTTATATACTTTCAAATATTTATTTAATTATAAACATTGGGTAGAAAAAATGACCGTCAAATTATTAAATCAAATAAATAGTTCCGATTTTAATTTTTCCTTGAGATTTCATAATTTATCCTTAATTATATGATTATCCGATCCGTTAACTTTTTCATTAAGTACTGTTAATTCACCGTTAGTCTAATTCCAATATTAAAGTCTAATCTATATATATATAAAAGTAAAATCCTCCTAGCCAAGTTTTCCCCCCAAAACTTAGGGTCATTTAAGTAATATCAATATATTAATTAATTATGGAAAGAATATTATGGTAATATAAACTAATTAATTATGAAATATTCCTATAATATTGATTATGAAATGTTCTTCACCAACGTTCGTTGGTCACTAATTAATTATACCTATCATACTGCATAGTGCATATATTATATATAACTATGCATATATTATATATTATTATATATAAAATTACGATTATAAATATGTATGAAATATTCCGTCAGAATAACAAACATTATGGTAATATAATTATGGAAATTATATATTATTGTAGTCCTTTTAATTGTCTATATATATATAAAAGTATAAAATCCTCCTAGCTAAGTTTTCCCCCAAAACTTAGAGGCATTTTTGTAATATCAAATATTTAGACAAATATGGCATTTTAATAATATTAAAGATTTTACCTTTCTTGAGATCTCTTACCATTTTATAATTTTAATACTAAACCCTTTTGATCTCATCCATTG